ATTTTTAATTATTTTTATATATTTTTATTAATTTTAATTAATATTTTATATATTTTAAAGATATTATTAGACAATAAAACCTATGGCTATAGTACAGTATGACCCAACACTAATAAATGAAATCATAGTTTATTTAAACTCAATTTAATATGGTCATGCTTTTTAGTTTTTAGTTTTTTATTTTGATTTTTATAAATTTTACAACTCTAAATGAAAAATTATTAGTAAGATTATAAAAATAAAAAGAACAAAAAGAATTTTAATGTTGTTAAACAAGTTCATACTTTTTATTATTAGTATTAAAAACTTGTCTTAAACAAATTTTTAATTTTTAATTTTGATTTTAATTTTGAATAATTACTAAATTTATAAAAACAAAATACTTGAATTAGCCATTAATGGTACTTCCACCATTAATTTCCAATTCGATTTGTTTTTCTCCTAAATACTTCTATTCTCATCCTTGTTTTATTTAAGGCACAATTAGCTTATATCCAGCAATTTCATACTTGCAGGAACTCTCTAATGGACTTCGTAGAACCAGTCTGCGGTATTGTGAAGGATGTTGCACCTACAGTTAAAAAATATGTCAAGTATCAGATATTTCACAATGATTATGTCAATGAATTCAAAGAAATGCAAAATAATCTGGGGGACCGACGGGAAGACGTTGCGGAAAGACTGCGTACTCAGCTTCTGCAGCAGCCTGGGAAGATTACAAAGCAGGAAGTTAAAGCTTGGCTAAAGAAAGCAGAGCAAGAAACTGCGGAAAAAGTGGTTGAAAATCTAATCTGCAAAGGGGGTTGTTTCACATATATGTGCTCATCAAGAAAGCTCGATAAGAGGACTCAATTACTGAAAGAAGAAACATTTCAGCAAGGAGAAAACTACACAAAAGCTGATGAGAGTTTGGTCATAGTTGATAACTCAATCAAAGGAGTTCAACTCCCTGTTGACAAATGTTGTGGCAGGGATGATAAACAAGATCAAATTCTGGATTTGTTGAAGGGAGACAATGTTACAAGAATTGCAGTTTTAGGAATGGCCGGTGTAGGCAAGACAACAATTATGAAGCATGTCCACAACAAACTCTTGAAAGAATCCAAATTTAACCAAGTTATTTGGGTAAAAGTGTCAAAAGACTTTGACGTTATTGGCCGGGAGGGTAAGGAGTTTGATATACTCAAGTTTCAAAAAAAGATTGCAAGTAGCTTAGAGTTAAAACTGGAGCCAGAGCATTATGAGGATACAATCAGGCTTGCTGGATTGATTTTACAAAGATTGCAGCAGGGCAGCTTCTTGCTAATTCTAGATGATGTGTGGGAGCCTTTCTCTTTAAAAGACGTTGGAATTCCTAATCCGCCAGTTGAAAATAATGGTTGCAATTTAGTGATCACGACAAGGTCAAGAGATGTTGCTCGTACAATGAATTGTCATGAGATTCCAGTGGATCGTCTTCCGCCTGAGGTAGCATCAGCATTATTCTTGGAGGAAGTTGGAGATGGTGTGTTTTCAAATGGCAAAATTAAAAGAGATATAGAGCCACTTTTGAAGGAAATTTTGCAGAAATGTGATGGAGTACCCCTTGCTATTGTGACAGTGGCAAAATCCATGAAAGAGAAGGAACTTTATCGTCATTGGAAGTTGGCACTTTCTGAATTTAGTAAATATAAAACTATTGTTGATTGTTTGAAATTCAGTTATGAATGGCTAGACTCACCATACCAGGACTGTTTCTTATTCTGTGCATTGTATCCGGAAAATTATGAAATCCCAAAGGAGGAGTTAATTGAGTATTGGATTGAGGAAGGGCTTACGTATAAAGAAGAGAAAACTAGGGAGCTAATGAATTGCAAAGGTCATGATATACTCGATATGTTAGTTCACAACTGCTTGTTGCAATTGGGTAAAGAGGAATATTTTGTGAGTATGCATTATCTTCTCCGAGAAATGGCATTGAATTCATTGAAAATTAGTCCTCATTTCTTGGTGAAAGCTGGCATGGCCTTGCAAAAGTTACCAGAGGAGCATGAATGGAGAGAAGATCTTTTGAAGGTTTCCTTAATGAGGAATCACATAACAGAAATTCCTTCAAGCATACCATCTCCAAAGTGTCCTAAGCTCACAACCTTGTTGTTGTCCAATAACAAATTTTCAACAATTCCAGAAGCTTTTTTTGAGCATATGCTTGAGCTCAAGATTCTTGATCTTTCCAACAATCCTGAGCTAAGTAGGCTGCCAGGTTCTGTGTCTGAATTGAAGAAGCTTACTACATTATTGCTGGCGGATTGTAAGTCCTTAAGAGAGGTACCGTCTATGTCCAACCTTGTACATTTAAAAAAGCTGGACCTTTCCTGGACACAAATTGAAGAATTACCCCAAGGCCTCAACAAGTTAAAAAATCTAAAATATCTTGGTCTTGGTGGAAGATTATCAGAAACAGTTGATGAACTCCTACAAAATCTCTCCAATCTCCAGCATTTAATAGTAAATACCAGAACAAAATTTAAATGGGAGACGATTGGAAGTTGGGGGAAGCTTCAAAACCTTGAGAAGTTGAATCTTCATAATTTGGATAACTTGAATGCGGTGTTTGGGGAAATAAGAGTAGTTGCTGAGTCAGCGTGGCTACCAGATGGCACATTTTCCTCTCTTCAATATATTAGTGTTTTTGAATGTAATAAAATAAAGAAGCTATTCTCGGTTCAATGGTTGAGGTATCTCCGGAAACTACAGACCATTGAGGTTCATCATTGTGAGGAACTGGAGGAGATAATAGGGTCTGAATCTGATGGAGGAGAAAACATCACCCTACCCAACTTAGAAAGCTTGAGATTGACCAAATTGCCCCAATTAAAGAGCATTTACAACGGTTCAAATACTGTTTTGATTTGTAATTCCATCAACAAGATTAAAATTGATGATTGCAAAAATATGGAGAGTGTTTTTTGGTCAGGGTTCAACCCACTCCTAAATCTTGAATATCTAGACCTTTCCAATTTGGATAATCTGAAATCTGTATTTGATGAAGAAGCTCTTGGTTCATTGCCACTTGAACATCCCATAAGCTGTTTCTCTCTTAAAGAAATTAAGGTTGAACGGTGTCAACAATTAAAGAAGGTATTCTCATCTGGACGGCTGCTCCGTTGCTTCCAATCTCTAGAGACTATTGAGGTTCTATGGTGTTTGCAAATGGAGGAGTTGATATCGTCATCGGCACATAAACAAGAAAATGTCAGTCTACCCAATTTACAAAGCCTGAGATTGATGCATTTGCACGCGTTGAAAAGCATCTACAACAGTTCCAGTGTGTTGATTTGTCATTCCATTCAGAGTCCGACTATTATCGATTGCGATAAGCTAATGAGGGCTAATGAGGATTCCCTGGAGTTTTCCCTTGATACTATTGCCTAGTCATCTCATCCTCCTTCCCTCAAAGAAATTGTGGTAGACACAACAAAAAGGTGGGAATCATTTGAATGGCACCATTCCAATGCAAAAGATAACCTTTTAGCCTTCTGTAAATTTCACTGGCGAGGTAGGGCGCACTACAAATGTAAGCCTTTTTCCATTCTTTCTTTCTATCTTAATAAATCTCTATCTCTTTCTCTCTCTCTCATCTATTCTTTTCTCCCCCATTGGCAGCAAAATTGGAATTCAGCTCTGTAACCACAAGGAAGTCAGAGAAAATCACTTTTTACACCTGTTGCTGTTGGGTTTTCAATTTAATATAAACTTGCTATTCTTTGTTTTTCTTTTGTTGTGTCAAATTCTAATTGGAAAATTGGAAATGTTTGTCCCTTTATTATCTGTGTAAATTTGTCTTTGAAACTGTGTGCAAAAAAGACTTGAAATTAATTAAGATCTATCTAGTTTCCTTTACTATTTATTTTTTATTGCACCTGCATCTTTGCTCTTCTTGTAATATGTGTTTTAGTTGGTTGCATTTGCATACATCTTCCCAAACTTCATTCAACATCATCATCCTCATCAATAGCAATCGAGACTTCTTTTCATCACTATATCTGCATGCTTGTTACTTTATCTTCTTAGAATCACCAAAGATGGACTGGCATTCAGGTCAGAGTACACTCCTCGTCTTTTCTTTTGTCCTTTTCAATAAATTATTTTATTGTATTTTCTAATTGCATGGTTTGATTATCTCTCATTAGCTCAAGTAAATTACTAGCTAAAATACTCTTATTTCAAAAGAGAATTTCCTAACTTCCATCCTTGGATGTTAATGGGTTGACATTCATCTATGGGCAGGCTAATGAGGAGCTACTGGATCACTAAACAAAAAGCTTTGCTCCATTACATCATATTTGACACCCAGTCCCATGTTGCAATTTTCACTCTTAAGAGCAGAGTGGATTTTCCAATGACATGTCTAATGATGAATTGTTATGTGGTAAAAAAGGGTTCTTATGAGGATGTTTCTTTTTAATCAAGCATATTGGTGAAGGCACTATATATACCAAGGACACGATAAGACCTGTTTGTTTTGAAATAATCATTATCCATTATTTGAAGGTGTTGGTATCAGCAAGAGCTCAAATTTTTCTCTGGGGAGCTCCAAAATTAGATGTCAAGTTAACTATACAATAATGCTACTTTGAAGGAGAGGAAATTGTCCTTGTCCCTCTTAAATGACCATAGGAAGGTATTAAATAGTTATATCTTTGGGAACAATTTTGTTATTTGAAACAAGAAGTGATTATTCTCCCTTCAAGATGAAATTCTGCGCCAGTTCAACTATCTTTTGACGAATGTGAAGCAAACTAAACAAATCTAAACACGTTAGGCTCAAAGAAAGTTCCACAAGAGACAAACTCTTTGGAAAAGAAAATCCAATAAATCTCAAACAAAAGGTCTTCTGGCTATAGCCTTACAAAGGTCTTAAATAGTTTAGGGCAATTCCCAAATTAAAAAGAAAAATTTAAACTGTAACTCCAAATAAAAAAAGAACTTCTAAACTCAAAAGGAATTCTAAACTATTAAATATTTTAAATATAAAAGTTAAGTTGCTCCTACTAGGCTTAGCCCTTTGTTGACGTCAGTCTCCCCTTCTTGGAACAAAACTTAACCTCGAGTTGTCATCAACATCCGCAGGATAAAGTGATTCACTTGAAACAAAGTAAGGGAAAATATCAACGACATTAAAAGTTCGAGAAATACTCATTGATGTTGGTAAGTCTACCACATAAGCATTGTTGTTAATTTTCTTGAGGATCTTATAAGGACCATATTTGCGTGGCAGCAGCTTATTGTAGGTACTTGCTGGATAGCGTTCCTTCTTCAAAAGGACCATTACCATATCCCCTACTGCAAATGCCTTGTCCTTTCGATGCACATCTGTTGCCTGCTTGTACCTGCTATTTGTCACCTTAAGCTTGGCTTTGACCTCAGCTTGAACTTCTTGGATTTGCTCAGCCAAGTTTGCTGCTGCAATGCTAATGCCCCTCACTCTTGGCAACTTCACTAAGTCTACAGCATGATTAGGCACTTTCTGGTATACTATGGAAAATGGAGATCTTCCTGTAGCACTATGCATTGCACTGTTATAGGCAAATTCTGCTTAAGCTAGAACAAAGTTCCACTGTCTTGGTCGATCCCCACAAATGCCACAAATCATGTTCCCAAGTGTACAGTTCATTAAATCTGTATATCCATCAGTTTAAGGGTGTGCTATGCTACTAAAATTTAAAGAGGCATCAAACATCTTCCATAAAGTCATCCAAAAGTGGCTAAGAAAATGAGTATCATGGTCAGATACTATTGATTTTGGCACCCTATGCAGACGCACTACCTCTCGGAAAAAGAGTCTAGTGACATTTGTGGCATCTACCGTCTTCATACAAAGAATAAAATGCGCCATTTTGGAAAAGCTGTCTGTTGACGTGCCAAAATGGATGGAGTCGCCATCTATCCAAATGAGGTGGGATAGATCACCAAGGTCTTCGTAGAAATTGACTAGGTTCGGAGGGTCGGTTAAGCGTGGGGAAGGTGTTAGGCACTCCACAAACTTCCATATAAATATGGTTACCACATACTTTAATTTTGGGTATTTTTCAATTTTTATAAAATAATAATTACTAAATAAAATAAACAAAAAAAAACTTTCAATCTAAAATATTATTGTTTTTTTTTTCCGTTTCTGTTTTTTTTCCTTTTTTCTTTTCTTTTTTTTTTCTGCACTTTTCCTCTTCTTTCGTTTTTTCTTTTTTGTTAATCTAATGCATTCCTAAAGATAAACAAACCAAAAAATAATAAAATTTCATAAGAAGGAAAACGATATTGAGCACAGGACTATTTCATGGGTTTTGTTTAAATATTTTAATTAAACTAATCTAATCACATCCTCCCTGTCTTTCCTCCCTAAAAATCTAATTCAATTAAAGAAAATATATGAAAACAAAACAGCCATGTTGATGATGACGCAAAGTGATAAACAGGACAAATGAAGAAAGAAACTATGAGAGGCAGCAAACGAACGAACAGAGCAGATGGAAAACAAAATGAAGAATGAAAATATGAAAGGCTTCTACTAATTTTCTCAAGATCCATTGCAGAAAGAAACAATTTAACAAGGAAACCAAAGCAATTACCGATAAAAAAAAACATGACAGAACAACACCCAAAAAAAATTAACAATGCACACCTGAAAAATATGAAAAAATCAAGCTTTATTTCCTAGAAGTTCTGGTTACAAGCTGCTGTACTTCCTCTCAATCTCTCCAATTTTCCTTCCAGGCTCGCCAATTCTCTTCCCTTCTCCCTCCTCGATTTTTTTCCCCATTTTTCCACCTCCCTTCTCAAAGCCGAAGCTTCCCCTTTTATACAGAAACAAGGAGAACCCAAACCCTTTTCTAATTCTAAATTCTTATCTCAATCCCTAAAATTACAGATAATAATCTAGCCCTATTAGAATTTGAAATTCTAAAACTAATCTAGTTCTTTGCACATCTTCCCTCTTTTAAGGCTAGATTCATACCTTTAAAATATCAGGACTCCCAATTTGAATCAACTTCGAAAACTTCCTCTGCGACTCTTGATAAGGGCTTCAAGTCCGAAAATCTCTGCTTGTGTTGTTATGATCTATCTAAACTTCGAATGGATTTAGAGATAAATCAAGAAGAATTTTGTGAAATTTGGAGATAGTCGACGGCAAAAGGAAGAAAGCTATTTTTTTTGGGAAGCTAGGGTTCAACAGAACCCTGGGCTTTATTTTTATTTCAACTTACAGGCAAAACGACGTCATTTTGCTAGTTCTTCATCTCAGCCCTTCAAGCTTTACACTTTTTGCGAAATGGTCCATGAACTTTTACTTTTCTCACTTAGCCCCAGTTAAAATTGGGTTATGACACTGTCAACCACAACAAAACAAGAATCCATGCCCCTTTAAGTCCTAGGCAAACCAAGGATAAAGTCCATTGATAAGTCCTCCCATGAATTTTTCGAAACTGGTAGTGGCATGTAAAGTCCTACATTTTGAGATTGACCCTTGGATGTTTTACACACATAACACCTTTTGACAAAATTTTCTACGTCTCTTCGCAATTTCGGCCAAAAATAACGATCTTTAACAGCATCTAGAGTCTTATCTCTTCCTAAGTGAGCTGCTAAACCTCCCCCGTGCAAATCTCCAATCAACTTCTCTCTTAATGAAGATCGAGGAACACAAAGTTGGTTGTCTTTCATGAGGAAGCCTTCATACAGATAATAACCATCTACAGGGGTTTGGTTTTTGTAAACTAAACCAAACTTCTTGAAAATCTAGGTCATCTTTGTATAATTCTTTTAATTGTTCAAATCACACCAACTCACTTCGCAAAATTGCAAGTACCATCGACCTTTGACTCAAAGCATCCACCACTCAATTTTGAGAACCAAATTTATGAATAAGCTTGAAAGGGAATTTCTACAAGAAAGAGGACTAGCGAGCATGTAAGTCATTGCTAAGTCTCTTCTGGCTATTCAAGTATCTCAATGCTTGGTGGTCGAAGTATAGAACAAACTCCTTGCCAATTAGATAATGTTCCCAAATCTTTAAGGCTTTCACTGCTACATAAAACTCCTTATCATATGTTGTCCATTACCGCCTAGAGTCACTGAGTTTCTCACTAAAACAAGCTATAGGCCTCTTCTCTTGGGAAAGTACTGCCCCAATGCCCACTCCACAAGCATCACACTCCACTTCAAATAGTTTTCCAAAGTCTGGTAAAGCCAAGATTGGTGCTATGCAAAGCTTTTCTTTAAGCAACGCAAAGCTTCTTTCTTCTTCGTCTCCCCATCTAAACTTCCCCTTCTTCATACATTCAGTAATAGGAGCTGCAATGGCACTAAAATTTCTAATGAATCGATGATAACAAGTAGCGAGTCCGTGAAAGCTCCATAATTCACTTATTGTTGTTGGTGTGGGCCAATCTTTAATTGTCAAATTTTATTTTCATCAACTTGAATTCCTTGTGCACTAATGATATATCCCAAAAACAACAACTTCTCCGCCATAAAATTACACTTTTTAAAATTCAAAAACAGTTTATTGTCTTGTAACACTCTTAATACCTCAAGCAAATGACCCATGTGTTCTTTTCTTGTCTTACTATAAATTAAAATATCATCAAAATATACCACAACAAAACAACCAATGAAAGGCTTAAGTACTTGGTTCATAAGCCTAATGAAGGTACTTGGAGCGTTGCTTAAGCCAGAAGGCATCACTAACCACTCATACAACCCATCTCGAGTCTTAAAAGCTATCTTCCACTCATCCCTGGGTCTAATACAAATTTGGTGGTAGCCATTTCGAAGGTCAAGCTTGGTGAACACCTTAGCTCCGTGCAGCTGGTCCAACATCTCATCAAGCCGCAGTATGGGAAACTTGTACCCGATTGTAATTTTATTAATAGCTCTGTTGTCAACACACATTTGCCAACTTCCATCTTTCTTTGGTGTGAGCAACGCAGGTACAGCACAAGGGCTCGTACTCTCTCTGATCATACCTTTCTCTAGTAGCTCTTCAACATTCTCTCGCAAAATATCCTTCTCTTTTGGACTCATTCGGTAATGAGGTAAATTTGGCAAACTAGCTCCCGGCATGAGGTCTACTATATGATGTTGTACATCCCTCATTGGTGGTAACCTAGTAGGTAATTAATCTGAAATTAAATCTGGAAACTCACTTAGGGTGGCTTTTACCTCCTCAGCAAGTTTTCCTTTCCTAGCTTGGTTTGCTAACTCTTTCACTAGCAAAACATGAACCTCCTTGGTCTCTTTGCATTCCTCTAGAAATTTTTGTCCTAAATTAACCATTATCAAGAATGTTTTGTCTGCATTTGGTAGTGTAGATTTTGCTTTTGGCCTCCTTGACAAAGGCAGCAAAGTGTAGCATACCCCTTCCTTAACTAAACGATAAACATTGTCCCTTCCGGGATGTTGAGCATCCATGTCAAATTGCCAAGGTCTTCCAAACAAAATCTAACATGCATCCATATCAACCACATCGCAATAGACCTCATCTCGATATTTACCGATGGAAAAGGGAACTTTACATCGCTCTGTCACCTTTATTTCATCTCCAAACTTGATCCATCCAATTGTGTAGGGACTTGGGTGCTTCTCGACTTCCAGCTGCAACTTTTCAATGGCTTCCTTTCCAATTATATTCTCTTGACTCCCGCTATCTATAATTAACTCAAACATTTTTGCTTGGACCTCACATCTTGTCCGAAATAATTGATATCGCTAGGTGTTCTCCTCTACCTTTGGCGACAACATGGTCATCTTCACCACATAAGTTTGCCGATGTTCATCTTCCTCATGGTCTCCATCATCATTTAGGTCATAGAGAACTTCACTAACATCATCTCCTTGCTCAATCAAAGCCACCTTCTTTCGAAGAAGACAATCACTTGATCGATGCCCCGGTTGATTACATTTGTAACACTTTCCACTAATTGGTCATGCATACGGGTTGGAATTTGACACCTTATAAGCTTCCACCCCTTCCATTGCTTTCTTGCTTATGTTCCTCACCACTGGCTTGTCTATTGCTAGCTTATTTTGTGTAGGGTGGGCAAGGTTGTCTTCAAACTTTGAGCTAGAAGTGCTATAACCTTTTCGATAAAATTCAATCCCATTTCCCTGATGTTCCTTTGCTGTTACCTCAGCTTTGTGGGCTAATGTTGGAGCTGTGGTGTCAAAGCTGCACAAGAGGTAGCAAATGGAAGGAAGGCTACACAGGAGGCAACAAATGAAGAAGGAAGGCTACACCAAAGCACAGTAACAGCAAAGTGCAGCAAACTATGCTGCAAATGTTGATGACATGAGGTTGTAATGAAAGGCAAATGAGGCTGCAAAGTAGCAGCAAGTACAGCCACATGAAGCTGCACAAGTGGCAGCAAATGAAAGGAAATGAAGCTGCACAAATGGCAGCAAGTCTTTTTATGTAATCTTGCATTAAATGTATTAGATAAGTATGAAAATTACTGTTGATGTACTGAGTTTTCTGCTATATAATTGCATAACATGAATGAAGAAAAGATGTGTTTTCACCTCAACAAAGAGGGAACTCCGAGTGGCTCTCTCTTCCTCCTCCAAGTCCCTTCCTTTTCTCATAAATTACCAACAGCTAAGTTTTGAGCTTCAGACACACTTCATATAACCTGGACACAAATTTTCTCTTTTAATGCTGGTCGTAACCCTTCAAGGTATCTAAAGACTTGTTGTCCTTCAGATTCATGTAGATCATTCTGGGCAGCCAAACGTAGGAACTCAGCTGTATATTCATGTACTATTCGTTGTCCCTGCACACACTTTTGATATTGAGAGAATAAATATTGTTCAGAATCAGGAGGCAAGAACCTGGCTTGAAGCTTTTGACTCATACAAGGCCAAAGACAAATGGGAGTTTAGCCTTCTCTTCTTCGGTTCTCCTGCACCTTATCCCAGCATAGGGTAGCACCCCCTTTTAATCAATATGCTACCAACTTCACTTTATTTTCTTCTAGAGTGTCCATGTAATCAAAGAACCAATCTACTTCTGACAACCAATCTAAAAATCCCTCAATATCAAGAGGGCCATCAAAAGTAGGAAAGTCGACTTTTAGATGAAAGTTTTCTGGTTCATAGTAATTCTCTCAATGTCCTCTTCCATAGCGACCTCCAAGCCCTCCAACATAGCCACATCCACTTCCCCTGGCGTTCCTTGGGTTCCCACAGTTCACCACCTGTTGGGCTACATGAAAATCATCATCACTTGAATTGTCATAAGCATGTAATCTCCAATTAATAGGATGGTGTTGATTAACAAGGCGCTCTCGAGCAACATCTCGATCGACATCCCTTGCTACCTCTAGCCCTCTATTGAGATTCACTGCAAGAGTGCACAAACTTGTGTAAACCTCGTCGAGACTCCTTTCTATCTCTATGAGTCGCCCTTCAAGCCTGCGCTCCAAATTTGCTGCCGTCTTCATCCCTTCTCCAGCGACATTAGGATGATTTCCTCCAAACCCGTCGACCATGATACCAGGATTATGCGTTCGCGCTCTAATACCACTTGACGCAGCATGAAGCAAACTAAACAAACCTAAACATGTTAGGCTCAAAAACAGTTCCACAAGAGACAAACTCTTTAGAAAAGAAAATCCAATAAATCTCAAACAAAAGGTCTCCCGGATATAGCCTTACAGAGGTCTTAAATGATTTAGGGCAATTCCCAAATTAAAAAGGAAAATCTAAACTGTAACTCCAAATAAAGAAAGAACTTCTAAACTAAAAAGGAATTCTAAATTATTAAATATTCTAAAATAAAAGTTAAGCTGCTATTACTTGGATTGGTCCCTTGTCCACATCATCTTTATTGGTATTTTATTTCAATAAATTATTTGAGTCTTGCTGTCTATTAGGTTTGATAATTCCACAGCTTTAGTCAAGTTGCGTGATAGTTTTGCTAGTGCATGAGAATCTAACTTCTCAAGTTACATTTTTTTTTTTTACAAGAGGAAAGCACTATATATCTTAGAAATTATGATTTGTTTCTAGAATGCTTGCCTGGTAGAGTTGAAGTTTTGTTGAAAAATTTTGCTGTTCCATTTTCTTTAACTAATTTTTGTCTGGTAAACCTCTAAAGCAAGCCAAAGTTCATCTACTTAACACTGTGCCAAGTGCCAATCTTTAGAATTACTATCCAAATTATATATCAATGCAGAGACGGATTCAACATTACTTTATAGTGCTCATCTTTTTGCTGGGTCTGTTGCATCAATCCTTTGACTTCTAGGTCTGTAAAACTGCTTTCTCTCAGGGATTTCCCTTTCTCTTATGTTTTCCTTTAAGATCATATGTAAATTGCTCCAAATTTATCACCTTTCCTATTTGATTAAAGAGACTGCATGCGTTGTTATCTTTTATTATCTATTTTGATGCCATCATTGTCAAAGGTTTGTTTGGTTATTAAGAAGATTGGAGAAAATTGAGTTTCTGAGAGTTTTTTCTTCATATTGAGAATTGAAGTTTTTAGTTTCTTGATCATGCTTGCTTTTTTTCCATTAATTTTTTTCCCGATTGAGTGTGATCAATGAAAATTTCAATTTTGCCTTTGTATACTAATTGGAAAGGATTTTATTCAAAGTTGTTGTCTAATGTGTTCTAAATTTATGCTAGAATTGTGAATTCTAGTTAAGTCAAATTAATTCTCTTGTTGAAGAATGTGAGCACTGTTGTGGTTTTAATGGTTCAATGCCCAGAATCAAAGCAATCAAAGACACAATCAACCACCCAAATAACAAAATAAGCAAGCAAGTAAAATAAAGAAGACACCAGAATTTTTTCGTGGAAAACCTAAATGGGAAAACCCACGAGGCACTTACCCAGATGAAAAACAATCTACTACTGAAAATGGATTAGAAATTTCGGAGCACAATTCGAATCTCTCAAAGTTCTAGCATCAACAAGGGAGACTTGGTCTCAACCTCACTCTATTTTCTGCATTGGTTTCCCACTCTGTTTTCACGTACTCACCCATTTGCACTCTTTTAAATTTAAACAAGAGATAAAATAGGGAGCTTTTGGATACAAGAATAGTGTAACACTATCTTATCAGGGACCAACATGTCAACATATCCAAAGTTGGAGAAGTCCACGTTGCTTTTCCCATTTTCTTCAAGAATAGGAATGTCCATGTCGGAAACACTGTGCAGCTTCAAAACAAAAACTTTCCAAGTTTTCTGCCATTCACCGTGCACTCAAGGTGCACCTCCATTGTTGAGCCACCCAACTTGGGAGGGCTAGCTCAACAATCTCCCCTGCCCGAGCTAGTTGAGGGGCTCCACCAAGCCAGCTTGTGATATGCAAAACTCAAATTTGCTTTTCACCAAGGACTTGGTCATCATATCAGAGCTATTGTCATCTGTGTGAACCGTCTCAACATCAAGCACCTTTTCTTCAATTGCATCACGTACCAATGATACCTCAAAACAACATGCTTGGTTCTAGAGTGGAACTGTGGGTTCTTGCTCAAGTAAATTGCATTTTGATTATCATAAAACAACACAAACCTCTCTTGCTTAAGACCCAATTCTTCAAAGAAAGTCTTCATCCACACAATCTCCTTTTCTGCTTCAGAAAGAGCTATATACTTAGCTTCTGTAGTGGATAATGACACACTTTTCTGCAATTTTGACTTCCATGAAATTGCCCCCTGCATAAAGCATCAAGTAACCTGAAGTGGACTTTCTAGAGTCCAAATCTCCACCCAAATCAGCATCATTATAGCCATTAAGTAAAGATTCATGTTCACCATAACATAAGCACATGTGAGATGTACCTCTAAGATACTTGAAAATCCACTTAACTGCTGCCCAACATTGCTTGCCAGGATTGGATAAAAATCTGCTCACTACCCCCACTGTGTGAGCTATATCCGGCCTTGTTACCATACCATACATTGGACTACCAACTGCAAAAGCATAGGGCACATTCTTCATGTATTCTACTTCCTCCTTGCTTGCAGGACACTGCTCTGTGCTCAGTTGAAATGGCCAGCAAGTGGAGTGGCCACAGGTTTTGCTTTACTCATGTTGAACCTATCAAGCACCTTCTCAATATATTTTTCTTATGACAACCACAGTTTCTTGTTCTTTCTATCTCGAAAAATTTTCATTCCAAGAATTTGCTTTGCTGGACCCAAATCCTTCATAGGAAAGGACTTGCTCAAGTCAGTCTTCAAGGCTGCAATTTTCTTTGTGTCATGACCAACAGTCAACATGTCATCCACATAAAGCAAAGGTATCAAGAAATCACCATCTGGATACCTTTTAACATAAACACAATGATCAGATTCTGTTCTAGTGAATTTATGCTCCCCCATAAAAGACTCAAACTTACAGTACCATTGCCTTGGAGCTTGTTTGAGACCATACAAGCTTTTCTTCAATTTACAAACCAAATTCTTCTTGCCTTGCACCTTAAAACCCTCTGGTTGCTTCATATAGATCTCCTCCTCAAGATCACCATGGAGAAAAGCTATCTTAACATCTAGTTGTTCAATTTCTAAATTCAAGTTAGCTGCCAAAGCCAAAATAGCTCAAATAGATGGCATTTTTACTACTGGTGAGAAAATCTCATCATAATCAATGCCCTTTTGTTGTCCAAAGCCCTTCACCACTATTCTAGCTTTGAACCTTGGATTCGGATTGTTCACTTTAGACTTTACTTTGAAGACCCACTTGTTATTAAAAGCTTTTTTGTCCTTTGGAAGCTCTACCAGCTCATAAGCCCCATTCTCTTGCAAAGAACTCATTTCTTCTTGCATTGCCATCAACCATTCCTTCTTTTTTCCACTCTCCATAGCTTCATAATAAGTTTCTGCCTCTCCCTTGTCAGTCAAGAGCACATACTCGCCAGTGGAGTACTTTCGAGATGGTTGATGAAGTCTAGTGGACCTCCTAACTTGAGGTTGCTGTGGTGGTTGCACTTGCTCTTCTTGGTGTGTTTCTTCTTCAACAAAATGTTCAACAACAGGCTCTTGAACTTGCTGCTCATCTACTTCACTGTGATCATCTTTCATAACACTCGGTTTAGGTGTTGAAGGAGTACAATAATCACTATCCGGTATTTCTTGAGTGTGCTCGCTGTCATCTTGCTTCTTTAAGTCTTCAACCGTCTCATTCTCAATGAACACCACATCTCTGGTTCTCATTAATTTTCTATTTTTCAAGTCCCATAATCTGTAGCCATACTCCTCATCACCATATCCCAAGAACACGCACAGTTTTGTCTTTGCATCAAGCTTTGCTCTCTCCTCTTTTGGAACATGCACATATGCCCTATAGCCAAATAACCTCAAGTGCTTGTAAGGCACTTCTTTGCCTGACCAAACCTTCTCCGGAACATCACCATTTAGAACAATAGAAAGGGATCAATTGATCAAGTATACTGCAGTCTTCAAAGCCTCACCCCAAAAAGACTTTAGTAACTTAGCATGAGACAGCAAACAGACAATTCTATCACATATTGTTCTGTTCATCCTTTCAGCAACTCCATTATGTTGTGGAGTTCTAGGAGTGGTCTTCTCGAGCTTAATTCCTTGTTCTCTACAATAGTGCTCAAATTGTCCACTGTATTCACCATCATTATCAAACCTAATGCACTTTAATTTTCTCCTAGTTTCTCTTTCTATCATTGCCTGAAATTCTTTAAATTTTTCCAACACCTGATCTTTACTAGACAAGGGATAAGCCCACAATTTTCTAGAAAAATCATCCACAAAAGTCACAAAATATGTAGCACCACCTAGACTTTTATCTTTCATGAAGCAAACATCAGTATGAACCAAATCAAGTGCATATTTTCTTCTAGACAGGGGTAAAGTGTGAAAAGAAACTCTATGATGCTTGCCAACTAAACAATCAGCACAGGTTTCAGAAAGATTACCTATAAAGCCGGGTAGGAGTTCCTTTTTGCTAAGGATTTGAAGTCCCTTCTCACTCAAGTGCCCAAGTCTCTTGTGCCATAACTCAATAGCATCAGCTTTTGTAACATTGATCTATCCCTGACACTGTTTTTCTTGAGTTTCATAGAGTGAAAATCTCTTCTTGCCTTTGCCACAACCATAGTGCCCTTTGTGAGTTTCCAAATCCCATTAGCGAAATAATTAAGGTAGCCATCATCATCTAGCATACCCATAGACATCATACTGAGACGTATTTCAAGAACATGTCTCACATTTTTCAAGTGCAGCTTAGACCCGATGTTTGTTTCAAGCCAAACATCACCAACACCCACAATCTTGGCTTCGAATCTATTTCCCATCTTCAAATAGCCAAAATCACCTTCTTTATATGAGCTAAACCAATCTCTATTTGGTGTGACATGATAAGAAGCAACAGTATCAACAACCCATGTAGAATCATGATGAGCAACATCAATGTTATCATTCTCACATAGCAGGTATACCTCACCATCAGAAGTAATTGTAGCAGTGTTCTCCTTAGCCTCCTTCTCTTCATGAGTATCAGCCCTTTTCCTAACATTTTTATCTCTATTGTGCCAACAATCCTTTTGATAATGACCTTGCTTTCCACAAGTGTAACAAGTCACTTTGCTCTTGGATTTTGATCTACCTTTGGACTTCCCCTTGTTGTACCTCTCTTGAGACTGTCTGTCATTGTCTCTTCGAGTATACCTTTGCTTACTCCTCCCTCTATACTCAGTAACCAGTGCTTCAAACTCAAAACTCATAATTCCTTGCTCTTTTCTTCTGGATTCCTCACTAAATATGCTGTCCTTAACCAACTGCAGAGTCATCTCACCATCTCTTGTTGAGTTGCTTAAAGTTACCACCAAAGTCTCCCAACTATCCGGAAGAGAGCTCAATAAAATCAATGCTCGTACCTCATCATCAACGGCCAGCTCTATAACTAGTTCATTCAAAATTTCTTGAAAATTATTCAAGTGCTCAAACACATTCTTGCCCTCCTTATACTTGAGATTGACTAGTTTTCTAATGAGGGAAGCTTTCTTCAAGGCATTCTTTCTTTCAAACAACTCTTCAAGCTTAGTCCACAATTTACAGGACACCTTCTCTTAAGCCACATGATGAATCACACTCATGTCAACCCATTTATGAATTACGCCATAAGCTTTGCGATCAATCTTTCTCCAATCAGCATCATTAATTTCTACAGGTTTTATACCTTTGTGCTCAATTGGATCATAGAGGTCCTTGCAAAATAGCTTGTCATCCATCAAAGTCTTCCACAAAGAGTAATTAGAGGTGTTCAACTTAATCATGGTTGAACCATCCTCCTCATCCGCCATGGTTGCTGGAATGAAAAAAAAAAAAAAAAAACCCAAATATCACTTGGGAATTTTCACAAACACCTTGTGTGTAAAGCCTACTCTGATACCAGTTGTTGTGGTTTAATGGTTCAATGCCCAGAATCAAAGCAATCAAAGACACAATCAACCACCCAAATAACAAAATAAGCAAGCAAGTAAAATAAAGAGGACACCAAACACAAATTCAAACAGATTATTTTGAAATTTAAAGAACAGATCACTTAGTCGTTGAGATATTCATCAAATTTGAACTAAATTAGCAACAAATCAATAGGTAGCGAGTAGTAGAAATAACAGAGAGATCATGCCATGGCCTTAAGTTTCATGAGTTCATGGCAGCCAGCTGCAACAGTAACAAAGCTTAGCCATGAACAAATTGACTTGATTTCTAAAGGTTACTGCTAATTCTTAGTTGGTTAGATTTGAATACTCCTGCTGTTTTACTACTTACATCTTTTTTTTTTTTCCCTTTTGTGGTTGAAATGTAAATGACTTGCTAATAGAGCTTAGAGGCTGTTATGCTAATGCAATATTTTATTTGTGGTATTGATACAGTATATGATGTAACCCTGCAGGAAACATTCACATATCTATCCTGTACTCATCAAATCAGGACTGCATCAAGATACTTGTTGGAAACAAAATTGATAAGGTATTGATTGAAAAAGGTAGTGAATTTATCCCTTCAGTTGGATCAATTTTGCTTTATCCATGTTTCATTTTTGCCCCAGTCAGAACTTAACCTTGAATTCATCTGAAATATTCTCATGGGCCAATATGAGTGTTACTGAGAATGATTCTTGAGCATTATTATTTTATACCTGGAATTTAATGGTACAATTCACATTGGTGATTTTTTGCAGGAAGGTGAATGAGATCTCAAAAAGGAGGCAAGGTGCTGACTTTGCTCGGGAATATGAATTCCCAGCCTTTTTATAGAGTGCAGTGAAAAAGTCAAGTGAATGTAGAAATAGAATAGTGCTTTGACGAGCTTATCTTAAAGGGAACCAAAATCTAGGTACTTTATTTCTGTATTTGATAGCTTAATGTTTGTTAGATACTCTTGCCTTGAGATAAGTTTTTGTTGTTTGGATTCATGAGAAATAGGTTTAAGTACCATTTTGGTCCCTCAACTTTTGACTTTAGCATCAAAATTGTCCCTCACCTTTAAAAAGTACCAAAATTATCCTCAAACTTTCATTTTTGGTACCAAAATGATCCTTCCATAAGTTAAATGACAGGTGACATGTTAAAATGCCAGCAAATCCTTTTTTTTTTTTTTCTCAATCAATGACATGAAAAAAAAAACATATTTTTTATGAGTTGACATTTTTAATTAATTTAAAAATAATTATATCTTTTTCTTTTATCCACGTCAGAAAATAAAACATCCCTTCTTTCTCTTCCTCTTTCACTCTCTCTTCTCCCTTCGTCTTTCTCTCTCAAACCCAGATCTGGGTTTTTCTCAATCTAGTGAAAATTCATACATTAGAATGAAAAATACAAGTAATAAACACCATACACCATACATTTTTTTCACAAACACCACACAAATTCATGATGAAGCAAGCTTCGCACTGACTCGGTTTGTACCTAAAATCAACCTAAAATCAAGGGAAGCATATCAGAATTTGAAAGGAAATATCCCACCCACGGGAAGTTCTCTCTTAACTGTTTCTTGTCTAAGATTTATACCTAAGAAGCAAACAAATGCAGATCTGCAGTTCTTTGAGGAACCCAAGAACCCAGAACTGGGTTCTTCACGAAACCCAGATCTGGGTTCCTCACGAAACCCAGGAACCCAAAACTAAGTTCCTCAAGGAACTGGGTTCCTCAAGAAACCTAACACCGGGTTAGGTTCCGCCACCCAACACCGGGTTGGGTTCCTCGCGGAACCCAAATCTGGGTTCCGCGAAGAACCAAGATGAACAGGCGAAGACCAGATCTGGGGAATTCCAGCATGCAGCTCGGTAGATTTGCGTGAGGGAGCAAGGAGCCGCGAGACCTGCAAGCAAGCGGGCAACACAAAGAAACAGGAAACAAAGAAAACAAACAGAAAACAAAAACCCAAAAAAGGCACCCGAAGGGCCTAGTCGTCGAGAGACCTCATGGGGTCATTGGAGCAGGGAACAGGCCGGCTCCATCGGGCTTGAGCAGCCGGAGAACCCGACGGCTCAAGCAGCAAAACTCGGAAGCCCAAGGCTTCCGTGCACAAAAAGAACGGGATGCCGGAGAAGACGATCAGAAGCCGGAGGATCTGGAGAGGAAGAAGAAGAGGGGAAGAAAGGAGATAGAGAAAGAATAAGAAAAGTTAAAAAAAGTCATGTGGGCCCCATTAAAAGGGAAAGTTTAAAAAGTGACAATATGATGGTAAAAAAATATGCCACGTGTAAAAAAAAAATGCCATGGTAACAAAATTTTCATAGTTGGATTTACACGTCATTAAGATTCAAAAAATTTAATGATTTGCTGGTATTTTAACCTGCCACCTGTCATTTAACTGACGGAAGGATCATTTTAGTACCAAAAATGAAAATTTGAAGATAATTTTGGTACTTTTTAAAGGTGAGGGACAATTTTAGTGCCAAATTCAAAAGTTGAGGGACCAAAATGGTACTTACACCTGATAAATATGGACGCTAATTAAGGCATTTGAATTGGGATAATTCAGATGTACTATCCTTAGTAATTCAGATTACCCCTTGGCTATATGATTGATAGGCCAAGGTAAGGCACAATGCATTGAGTCTGAGGTTGGAATCTTGTTTGCAACTTCCATGCTGAGAATGGCATATATTTATCTTTCTAAGTTTGACATCTAGACTATTGTTATTCTCTGGAATTAGGCAGCACAGTTATAATGTGATTCATGTCTTCTTATTAATGCATTCCTTGGGGTGAGGACTTTGTAAAAGGGATGGCTGATTGGTCACAGTGGTAAAGTATGTTTCAGTTTTTTATTCTCATCCCTATCTACCCTTTTGTTTCCGACAGTGTACCTCCATTGATATGTTGAATTTATTTCCTTTTGATTTGATTATTTACTAACGAACATGATTTATTTGGTTTATTCCAACAATTCACTCCCTACGTGAGAGAGGCAAAGGGCAACTGCTGGACTCAAAATATGCAGTATTTATTATTATTTTTTTTAGATTCTATTGTTTTAATTCATTATGGGTTGGGTGATTGGACTTTGGACTTGCACTTGATTGGCATTTTACACTAACACATCATTTCACAAACACACACTCAGCACAATTGGTTGGGTCTTGACATGCGTAAGTCACTACATGGTTTAACCAAGGTTTGACAATCTGAATTTAGGAGATGATGTAGCCTCTCAAGGAATCATAACTCCATAGGATAATTTACTAGTATGTACAGTGCAGATTGAATACTTTTTCATGGAAAGAATGTTTGTGGATGGTGGTTGTGCATATGTTATTGTCGTAAATTTACACTTTTATCTTCTCAATCTTCATAAAATCATTGACTAAGATTTAGCATAGGAGTTTCAGGGAAAACGAACAAAGACCAACCAGTGAATTGCATTGAAGAAGCAATCTGCATCAGGTACTAATTATTTTCCTTTTACCCAGAATTATGATAATTCATTCCACAGGGATTGTCTTCAATTTTTTGAAATCTATCTAGCAAGATATGTAGAAACATGCTTTCTTGACCTAGCGAGAGAGAAGAAAAGGGATTTGATTTTTGTAGAATGAAAAACCCCAAAAAATCAAATTTCAATATTTCATTACTAAAGTGTATGACAATCTATAACTCTATAGATGTCACCTCCTAATTCTAAATTCTAGCTTGAAAATAGATTTGAACTGTAAATAAGAAGTTTTTGTACTTTAAGAAGCCAATAAATATCTAAATTTTAATTTAGCAAAATACTTTAGGTTCTGCTTAAGGTGAATTTTAAGGTGTGATTATTATTACTATTAATATTATTAAACTTATTAAAATTTTAGTTTATTTAAAGAGCATTTAAAAATTATAAATATATTAACTAATAAATATATATCAACTATTTTATTATTTATTAATTAATAATTATAGTTATTAATAATTTGTATTAATTAAATTAAATAAAATTAATATTTTTAAAAATAATATTTTATAATTTATAATTGTTGGTGGTCAATAAT